TAACTATACCTTACTACATATAGGAAGTACGCAACAAATGTAGATGAACAAACAAACAAAAGTATAAGTGTCTAGTCATAAAGGTGCACGGGCAATGGCCGTGTGCGGATGACGCTGCAACACCGACGCTCATTCTTCATTTTTTTCCCTAGATGCATCTGCTCGCGTACTTTATGTGTTTCTTCCATCAGAAACTCAAGAGAAGTCGGCTTTTCAGGAGGAACAATGGTGTCGCAATCGTTTCTATTACTTTCTCGCAAGCCCGAGAGTACCTCAATGCGCGACACTTGTGGAGAGAATAGTGTAACGTTTTGCCACTCGAAGTGTATGAGACCACACATTGCTCGGAGGAGTATGATGATGATCGGTACATCTTACTTACTTCATTCACTGCGTCAGCCTGTTCATAATTTCGGTATGTCTTCAATGTGCTTTGCTTTGCGGTAATCCATGCAGCTACCCCTTTGCCTATTGCATTGTGCAAAGGTTACTCTCCTTAAGCAGCACCTCTAGTAGTTTGGAAAGGTAATTGGGTTTTTCTCACTTGGCGCCAAACTGACATACAGTCAGCGTAGGTTTACTGCAGTCTATACTATAACATCGATAAGGCTATATACTACGAGAAAACTTACTAGGCGCTCTTACACACACACGTGCTTATAAATTTCCGAATCATGGTACATTGGTTCATTGGTAACACGTTGACGGTATCTCCGCATGGTTGTTTTCTTTGGAAATATGGTACTGATCATTACCAGATGATGCGCACACAATCTTGCGCAGGCTGAAATATTACCGGTTATACATTGCATAGTAGCATAATTTGATCCAACATCATTATTGAAATATTAACGTAAATCAATGAGACGGTCAATGTGTTTCTACCATTTGCTTCTGATGTCATGGAAAAAACTATATCTTGGCGTCGACTGAGTGTATCACAAACACAATGTTAATATTCGGCATTTGTAGTAGATCAATACTGGCTTATGGAGGGTATTCACTTTCTTTCCCAAAAAGATGGATCCATATGAGCTTTTACTTTGTTTTTTTTTTCACTAGTGCGGTAAGCACTTACGTATGCTCCATTTTCGTGAAGGTCTTCATAGGCTTTGAAGCCGGAATATTCACCTAGTTTTGCAATGGCGATGAAAAGACATCAGAAAGGCAGAGGTTAGAACAAAGTGACTAATTTCTAGCGCAGTTTGGAGAACTTTCTTTGAAGCATCAGAGTTTCAAGACTATGTTGTCCGGAAAAGTAAATTGAAGCTGTTTTGCGGAAAACCGTTTTGACGGAATCTGAAACATGCTTACAAGAGCACAAGAAAACATAAGCACTGTTGCTAGACACTCCTCTGATGTCTTCGTTCAGGCAGCGTTCATATTCTTCCATAACAAAATATTATGGCCTTTGGGGATGGCTGCACCTCGTAACTATGTTATTAAGGCCTAGTGCGATGTATACTACACATTTAACTACATGAAAATTAATGATGCAAAAAAATGAATTAAAAAATAAGTCGTTTGGACAGCAATTTCTAAAGGATGCATTTACGCTAAGCACAGCAGTGCTCAGCTGTAGTTACCGAAATACAGCAGGTGCCTTGTAAAGGAACTAGTAGAAAACGTTTACGAAAAATGTCTAGGAGTGAGGATGGGCAAACAAGAAAAAAGCGCCCCGACGCACCGGCACAAAATAACGAGTGTCCGTGCAATCAAGACCTTCTTTCAATAGACGGAGTGGCTTATAGGCCGTACATAAATTTGATCACTTCAAACTGAGATTTATATTGTGACAGCGCTACTTACCGTCTATTTACCTTCTTGTACTTCAAAAATATTGTGCTCCTTCAAATATGATTCGCATGCGCACAAACTTAACTAAATAACTTAACTGAATATGAACAAGACGCACGTTTTAAGCACAGATTTTGTTTTTGCTGAGGTGATCTCCGGAAACATCAGTAGAATAAACAAAAGTGCTTGTCTCCTTTCTTAGTTATAGCGTTCCAACCGATAACGTGACGTAACACCAACCCTAACACGTCAACTTTTTCAAGTGTTTCTGTTCTCCGTACAGTACCCATAGAAAAAACTGCTAGACAAATTTCGCAGCCTACAACAAAAAGGAAACAACAAGGCCTGCGGTACGTGGTTTATTTTCTGGACTTCATCTTTCTCGGACTATTTTTGGTTTCACTATGTGGCGCAAACTCGCCCACGTAAACTCCTGCTGCTTCAAAGTGAATTCGTCAAAGTATACCGCAAGTATAGCAATAACATATGGTGACCATCATCTTATAGCTGGGGTTGCGGAAGATGAAGAAGTTTGTGTTCTGTCTTGAGCAATGTTTTAGTTTCGCCTTCATCGCCATAGCTTCGGAAACTCCAAGTCAGCGCACGGCTTTGAAGCTGAGCAACACCAGTAGCTCACTCATTTCATGGAAGCACGTGCTGCGAAAGCTAACGGTGCAAGCTCAGACCGAGATCAAAACTGACCTGGCTGTCTTTCGCCCTTTTGAGAGCTTGCTCCGCTTGCTCCTTCTTTTCCTTCTGCTTTTCATAAAATAATACAGAGGCCATTATCCAGTTATCGGCTTCGTTTTCTGACATTCACTTTGTGAAGTTCAAGTACATGCCTGCGACGAGAGACAGACACTCTGTGACCTTTCCGCTTTTCATTTCTTCTCGGAAAACATGGAGCACCAGGTTTGTTTGGGTTTCGGTGGTTGTAACGGCGCCTGCACTGCAATTAATATCAACCGGCGGGCTGTATTCGTGACGCAGGCCCGAATAAATTGCGTGCATGACGCAAACAAAAAGGTTTTCACTGTGTCGATTTCGGTGCACTTAATTTCCTGGCGCAACAGGATTGGCGGCACTTGGCCGACCTGTTTGTATGCGGCGCACGAACCCTTCGGGGAGAGTGGAGTGCGCTTTGCGCATTAGATAGAGATGATCACGTCCCTGATTAATGGCTATAACAGTCGAAACGGTGCATGTATATTTAGGAACAGGTTGATGGCAGTGAAGACTGATGGCTGGAGTGTGCATGTGTTTATGCACGTATGTATGTATGTATGTATGTATGTATGTATGTATGTATGTATGTATGTATGTATGTATGTATGTATGTATGTATGTATGTATGTATGTATGTATGTATGTATGTATGTATGTATGTATGTATGTATGTATGTATGTATGTATGTATGTGAATCCACCCGTGGATAGATAATTTAATGAACATAAATTCATTCGTCTATCCACATGTACTAGGGGACATAAACTCATAAGTTCTTACGAATAGACGAATGACCCAGAACGCGTTGTATCACGGAGTTCTGTTTGTGTTGACGGGTCATGAAATGTACAGCCGTGAGGAGAAGTATGCGGACCACTGAAGTGCCAGGCGTAATGACTCTCAACGCGTTCTAGTCCCTATAGCAGTATAGTTGGACGGAATAGTGGTCGAGATTATTACTACCACGAAAATTCCAAGAGAAATGCTCTCAACAGCCCATGATTTGCCCATAGACGGCACAGACGGGAAAGGTGTACAAACAGAATGGTCTGTATTCTTTGACTCAATGGTTCTACATGTGAGTTCGTCTAATCCGTTACCTCGGGTTACCTGGTATATCCTAATATTTAAACAGTACAAAAGACAGAATGTGTTTTTTTATCATCCCGTGGTTATCTTTTTAAGATTTCTTTTTGCTTACGGGCGTATCTCTATCATTTTCACAGTCAGGATTACGTATAAAGAGGCTAAAGTAGACAAGGTTTTTCATTTCAATGAGAATACACGCAGCCACCGGAGTTTGAAATTGTGCCGCTGCATAATTTTAAACTATAAGCTAACTCTTATGCTAGTATATATTGACGTTAACGTAAGCGTGTTTTTAGGAGTATATGATACTCTTGCTCATAATACATTGTATTTCCACATAAGCTTAACTGATATACAAATATAATGGCGATGTCTTGTCACATTTCAACATACCACCGCGACGTGGGGAGACTCAGTTGCTCAAAAAGCAAGGAAGTATGATAACAGAGATGATTCGCTGACCAGTGGATTACTTAGATACTAATATCACTCAGACAGGGTACGTGTGATTGACGAACTCGTGCTGTAAGTCGACAGACGGCTTGTAAAAAAAGAATGGTTGCATTCATAGATGCAAGCACTCCCCGGTGCAGCCACAAGTTCGCTGGAAATACTAATTTTAATAATAGCATCATTTGCATCTGCATAAACATTTATCCTCGTTCCTAATGGCTTTAGTAGCTAAGGCAGGAGCAGACAGTGTCATTTCCATTCCCCGCTGGCCTTCCGTTATCCATCTCCCAGCTGGGACCCAGCTCACAAAGGAAAGCCATCTTTCGACTTCGAGTAATAGAAGTCCAATCAATAAAAATATCATTTGTGGCAGATTTGAATAACGTATTACTTCTTATTATTAGTCTTTCACAGTACCAAGAGCTCGCTAGAACTGAGTAAGGGCAACATAGAAGAAAAAAGAAAAAAGCAAACAAGAGATAGAGACATGGATCATGACTAATGAAAACAGTGTCTGCTACAATGCGGGCTTGCAAGACAGTGTCAGAAATGGAAATAGACCACCTTATTATACTAACAATACTCAGAAGAGGAGTAAAAGCTAAGGCTGGTGTTTGCATAAAAGGTTGTGAATTGACCGCGTAAAGGAGAAAGAATAGTAAAAAGTGCACATATCTTGAGCACACACACAAACAGGAATGTAAAGGCTAAAATATATTCGCGATTGAATGCTAAAATTTTGCGAAATACAACAGCGAACTGTAGGACATGATAGTGACAAACGCGGAGACGGACTATGAAAAAGGCACCAACAAAGCCACACTCCAAGTAAACTTTATAGCTCAAAGGAACGGACTTGTTAAGCTCCAGGAGGAGCCACTACGGCTGGGGCGTAACCACCTCTTCAACTCCTGTTTTGTTCTTCTCATTGCAGTGCTGTTTTTCCATCAAGGACAACTAACATCAATACAGCCTGTGAAAGACCATTTGATGATCCTCTTCAGACAGGGTAAGAACATTTTTATTGGTATGAAGGCTTATTTTCGCTGCGTTGTTTTCTTCACACCCTGAAGAACAGAAAGGAGGCAATACGCGTTGAATTTTGTTCACAGGAACCTGCGTGGAAATTATTGTCAAGTAGCTCACAACAAAATTATTTCATCTTGAGCGGATTCAACCATACGATGAGACGGGCAAGAGTTTCGAGTGCTTTCCACCTATTGAAAAGATAAATTCTACGTTGACACTTTCCCGCTACTTTATCGCATTTCAATTATGAAAACTGCTCAGATTTGGGCGCACGTTAAAGAACCCCAGGTGGTCGAAATTTCCGGAGCCCTCCACTACGGCGTCTCTCATAATCATATGGTGCTTTTGGGACGTTAAACCCCACAAATCAATCGATCAATCATGAAAACATCTATGCGGAACGACAGTACCTTGAGTGTGTTCATGAGTTGGCGAAGGATGTTCGTAGATTACATTCCCAATGGCACTAGTTCAGGGTATATGTCGTAATGGCTATACATCAGAAAATTGGGGAGAGGGCGTGAAGGGCGCACCTCAATATTTCGGGGAGTTCATTGCTCGGTGCAGAAATTAGTTGTTCTACTATTTTGGCAGCATACAGGCAGTTCACGATTACCAGCGATAAGCAATGAACAAAAACTTCTATGAAAGCATTGTCGACGATTGAAATCGCGAAACAATGTCTATAGCACTGCGTTCCTAATGAAATCGTGAAACAGTACCTAGCGACAGAAGCAATAACTTCGTATTCGTTAAACTTGTGTGGGACATAAGGTTATAAGTGTGGAACGTGTGGTTGTATATATATATATATATATATATATATATATATATATATATATATATATATATATATATATATATATATATATATATACATATTGTGTGCGTGTCGCAGTGGCTTACAGCGATAGTCTGAGTTATATAAGTAGCGCATAAGCCAAGAATATCCTCTATAAATAGCAGCCGTTATACCAGCTTCGATTTTCCAATACAAATTAGCTGGTATACTTTGTTGACGAAAGTTAGGATGGCTTTGTCTTCAAGTGAATGCTTGTCGACCATTTCTACTGTTGAAAGCTCTTAGCTTGGACGAGAAAATTTGGCTTGAGCAAGATGGTTCGCAGTAATAAACACGTTTTCCGTAATACAATATAGAGACTTCTTCGAAATCAAGCACTCATAAATGACTATACCAGCACGATGGCAACACCACGACTGTACGTCGGGCCGATTACGTCACTCAACTGCATTGGATTAGGTTTCTAAATTATCTTCTTATTGAATTCATAGAATGTTGAAATAAGTGGGTACAATCATGCATTGTCCCTTAATACGGCCACGTAAAGTCAGACCTGCGACAATGGAAGCGCCGAAAAAAATCTCCTCTTGTTTGGCCTTGCTGAATTCAGCTGGAATACCTTGAACGAATTCAATGCTGTTTTGAGGTTTTACCCACCTATTTTTTAGTCAGTCTCATTAAGTCGAAATTTCAATGGTTCCACTAGATATACATTTTACGAGACATCCTCACATTCTACTTCACACGTCTGCCGCCAACTTTTTTTTTTTCAATTATCTACGACTTTTGTGCGCAACGAATAGGTCACTCATCATAGAGCTCATACTACGATTTCAGTATTCGAAAGTGTGAGCTGTCACGGGTAGCCCTATGTATCTGCACCGTATCACAAACCCGAAGCACGCTATACCACGTCATTGTGCGGAGTTTGTCTCCCACGTGGCCAACAAGTCTGGCTTGTCAGTGCTAGCACTGTGAAATGGAATGACGCAACTACCCTGTCAGGGTGCCTTATATATAGGAATAATGCTGACGGCCTGACTTTTATTTTTATTTCAGTATGAAATGGAATAGACCTACTTTATTTTACAGCGAAAGCTGTGTATGGCTTGGAAAAACGAAAGTTCGTTCGGCAGCGGTGACATGAGCAGTATCCATTGACTGTGTAATCAGCCACACCGTTACCAAGAGCGCACTTCATTGGCTGCGTTGTGAGTGACGTCGTCGCAGCCGCGGCGCCGAACCCACGCGCAGCAGTTTCTGCTCAAACCTGCCCGCAGAGTGGGCACCCGATGCCGGACGCTTGCAACAGTGCGGCGTTCCGGCGTCAATGTGATATATGCGGGAGCGCGTTTGCCGGGACGAGCGCCGCTTTCGGCGTGAGTGTTTCCCCAGTGGCACATTGGCTTCGCTTGCGACTTCTGTGACCACCTGTGGTTCGCCGACAACCACTTTGTTGAACGTATTGCGAAACACATTTAACCGCTTATTACAATCCTCCATGAACGGGATCATGCGAGACACAAGAGGCGGCATGTGGAGTACATAATGTGATAAACCCGAGCGAGAGGTGTCATCTCATCAAGAGGCACGAACATATAGCCAGTAATTGTGAAACGCTTCAGTGCCTACTTTACAACGTCGTCCGTCTTGCAACGTATGAAGCTATGTGTACGATTGTCATTAGGCGCAATGTGCACTTGGGTTATCATAAAGAAAATGTACGTCCTGATAGGAATTTCCAGGCGAGAGTGGTTGGAAGGACACACTCCTTATCTCCGACTCGCAATTAGAAGTTCGGCCGAAGACGCCGCCTGGGCCCACAAGATCATGGCCACCCCAACCCACCCCTTTCGGAGGAGCGGGTGTGGATCTTTCTGCTGATTGAATAAAGTTTGTTCATCATCATCCTGATAAGCGGTGTGATTAATTTGCAATTGTAAATTAAACATTTGTATGGACACTCAAGGAGCATCTATTTTGTCGTGTTTTGGAAACTTATTGGTGTTCCGTAAAGTCCAAACCCATAGATTCACCTTGCACAGAGAATCTTCTGTCTGTGAGTGAAAGCATGAGAAGGCTACAAATGGGCGTGGTTGATGCAAGCGTGACGCGCGCCGGCCGACTCCGTCGGGCGAAGGAACGTGAAGGAAATTGTGCTGCGTCGCCCGAACAGCTAAGGCACACTTAGTTCAAAATGGTGCACCGGTGCGCGTGCTATCTCAGGAGAAACCATTATTTCGAGGTGGCATGCCCTCAGTTGGAACTCTACGCACTTGATCCTAAAGTGATCATTTAGAAAATTGAAAGATTCAATGGTGATACTTTTCAAACTGAGCACAATGTTGAAGGATCCCTAACGAGCGCTACATAAAGGCAAGCGCTATGTCGATGCTGTCTGGCTGTTGTTGAAGCACTTTCAAATACGCACTTGGTTCAAGGCGTTAAGAAACACTCTGTATATATATTTCGCGTGCATTGGGAACTGTTCATAACGCTCCGCGATTCTGCGTGTTCCTGTGACGACTTCTGAGCTGTGTGAGCCACTCGTGTGCTGTTGTGAGTGGTACAAGTATAGTGTAATCTAGGGATTTCTCTTTGGTAGTCGCTTGCGCAGCTTCCTGTTCGTTGTTGCATCACTTCCGTGCAGGCCATGAGCTTGTGCGAAGTTCATTTCCGTTCTCTCGTCCAACCGTTTGACAAACAGTTTCGACATTCAGAGTTTCTCCTACGGCGTCTTCCGGGTTGCAGTCGTCACAAGGACCTTGAACGTGTTGGCATCCGCGTTTGAAGCCATAGTTCGAATGTGCGTGCTTTCTTCTCTAAAAAGCAGCTGGCATTTCCTTGTCAGTCTCTACCCACACGTCCGATTTTTTTAGATGCGGAGCATCTTATACTCGCGCCTTGTAGTGCGCCGTCCGCGCCGTCCGCACCGCTTCTCGAACATTCGACAGCTGACGCGCGCGCATGCGCCGTCGCGCCGTCGCCCACTCTTCCACCATCTGTGCATCCCTTCCTCCTCTACACACCGCGCGCTCCTACCACCATCTGTGCACCCTCCTCCTCTACACACCGCGTTCGACATCTACAATTCTCCTGATTCTCCAGTGGTGGCGGAGAGCGTGTTCAGAACTCAGTCAAGGGCGTCTTGGTTTTTACTTCACTTCACGCTTTGCTTGACTCGAGTAGATGCGATCGAAGCAAAAGTACCTTCAACCGTGTGGGGCACAACCCAACATCAGCGTTCCACCAGTCGTTCCACCAGTCGTTCCACCAACTTCTGCTCCTTCGAGGAAACGCTGGAGCACATTCTATGCCATTGCCCGGCATACCAGTCTGAACGACGTATTATCGAAGCCAAGCACTGTCAGCTGGATTCACGGCCGCTTACAGAAAAGAAGATCCTGGGACTTAGGCCGACGGTTTCGCATAAGCGCAAAGCCACGAAACCCCTCTTGTACTTCTTAAGGACCACCAGAATACACGACCGCTTGTGAAAGAACAGTGTGAGACCGTGCTGTGTAGTCTCGTGCTCACTATTCATCCTTCTCTTTCTTACTCCTGTTCTTTTCTATCTCTTTTCTTTCTATTATTCTCCCTTTCACCCACCCCAAGTGCAGTGTAGCTAACCGTGTCAAGCTTGGTTAACCTCCCTGCCTTTCTTCTCTCTCTCTCTCTCTCTCTCTCTCTCTATATATATATATATATATATATATATATATATATATATATATATATATATATATATATATATATATATATCCACCAGTCGTTGAAGTCAACACTTCACCTTCATTTAATAAACCGAATAATAGAGAGAGAGAGAGAAAACATTTATTGAAAGAAGCTTGTGAGTGAAGGTGGGAGGGTACCTTATTCCAGGAACCCTCTGGCTTGGACAGCCTGCCGAGCTCGAGCGACGAGTTGACGCTGCTCGACCAGGTCCGGCTGGGAGATCGCAGCCTCCCACACTTCACTGAGGAGGTCTTGGTCCGCATCTGGTGCTGCTGCTCGTAGTCTTGGGACGCTTACTTTGCACTGCAGTAGGAGGTGTGCCAGAGTGTCTGCCACATTGCAGTGAGGGCAGATGTAGCTGTGCAACGTTGGCCTCATATGGTGCAATAGTACGCCGTGTGTGAACGTGTTGCTTTGAAGACGCCTATAGTCAGTCCCTTCGT